AAATATTCAGGGGGAGGGGAAAACAAAATTCCAGGGGGGCACGGCAAAATTCCAGAGGCGTCAAAACAGAAAAGAAACAAAATACGAGGGGGTAATAACCACCATAATTTGAAGTAGAAAAAATAAAGTATGGTGGGAGGGAGCCCCAAAATCCAAGGGGGATGGGGAGGGGAGAAACCAAACCCAAAACTCGAGGACAAAAAAAACCAACCCAACAGCAAAATTGGAGGGGGAGAGAGAAATACCACAAAATTCGAGGCGGAAGGAAGGAATTAATTTCAAGGGGAAACAAAAAAAAACCCAAACAAAAAAATTGACGCTGTTAAGACACACAAGCATTCGAGGGTGGAGAACTCACACACTTCAAGTGGGGGAAACCCGTCTAAATTCGAGAAGAGAAAAAAAATCCCGAAAAAATCGAGGCGGGATCGCCACGAAACTCCTGAAAGTGCGGAGGAAACCCCAAACATTATACGGGTGAAAGAAAACACTATTCTGGGAGGCAAAGAAAACAAGTTTTTGGTGAGGGAGACCTCATGAAACTCTAGGGAACAAAACAAACAAACAAACCACCCACCACTAGAAATTCTAAGTGAAAAACAGTATGCGAAGGAAAACAAAAGCACGAAGTATTTTGGAGAGAGGGTGGGGGACAGGAATTGCCGAAGGGTGCAAGCACATCCCGGGAGGAGGCTGCGGTGAGGGAAGAGGCGGCCAGCACGCAATTCCCGGCTGGAACTGCGAGCAGGGGAAGCGCTGGGAACGCGCCCATCCCTTACCGCCGAAGAAGCTCCTGGCGCGCAGGAAGCCGGCGCTGAGGCGGAGCACCGAGAGCTTGTCCAGCCCGGCCAGCACGTCGGGAGGGAAGGGCAGCAGCCCCGCCAGCCGCTCCAGCTCCCGGTTCAGCCGCGCCCGGTGCCGCTTGGACGGGTTGGAGTCGCCGCCTTCGGCCGGGCCCGGCCGCGTCCTGCCGGGCACAGCCGCGTTACCGGGGAAGGGGGATAGCCCTCAGCCCTTTCCCAGCCCCCTCGCCCTCACTCACGCCCGCGGCACCGGCTTCCTCCGCCTGCGCCCCGCGTACATGGCCGGGCCGACAGCGCCCGAGCGCCGCTCCCTCAGGGCGAGGGGCAGCGAGAGCGGGAACGGCCCGCCCCCGGCGAGGGGGGATGGACGGGATCTGGGGCTGCGGGGCGGTGGGGTGTGGGGATAGAGGGATCTGGGGGCTGAAGGGGGAGCTGCTGGAGAGGAAGGATGGTAGGTGGGAGGGACACAGAGCGTTAATGAGGGAGTGAAGAGGGCGAAGGAGGATTTGCGGCGTGAAGGGGCTGTGGGTGAGCAGGGAGGGATGGGTGGATGGGTGGGTGTTGCTGTGAGGATGTTGATGGGGAGGTGGGGGACCGGACCGTGGATGCTGATGGCTCCAACAAGCCGCTGGTGCTTTGCCCAGTTCTGCACAGAGCGGCCTGCCAGGTGCGCAAGGGCCGCGCACCGAGGCTTGTAGATTTGCCATGTGAAGTCCTCATGGTGCAAATGTCCTCTCCACGTAATGGCTCAGCTGTGAAAACTCCTTCCCAAGTACGGGGACATTCACACGTAAGCTGAAGGTACCCATCTCGACTGATGGGCCGTAATTAATTCAACTTCGCTCACTTGCAGACAGCTGCAACATCTCAGAAGGTGTAGAGTCCCCAGGTGTCCCGTGATCCACAGTATTATTCAGTGTGAAGCTCACTGTCCCAGGGAGAGGTACAGGGGATGCTCCCACTAGCCTCAGCAGAATATAAACCCCATGCATGTGATGTTTGTTGGACTGTTTCCCTTCGCCACTCAATGGATGTAGTCTGCAGTCACTTTCTCTCCACTCTCCTGTCTTTTCCATCTCTCCCCTTCATGTTTACTGTTAAATAAAAATCCACGCTATTGGCATATGGTGTCATTTACACCTTATTTTGGGTAGACGCATTTCTGTAATAATTTTTAATAGTCAGATATTAACAACCATGTGTGTCAATGACAAGTGTAACCCTGCCTGTGAGTCCCACAACGCTACAGGGCAGTTTGGGGGTGCAAAGGGGGGACACTGTCATGCCTCTGCTGTCATGCATGCCCACAGTAGCTGGGGACAATGACAATGGAGTGTCACCCACCCAGCACCAGGGCTAGGCTTTTCTCAGCACTTGCTCAGTCAAGGAGGACATGGAGAGACGTGGTTTTGGGTCAAAAAAAATATCAGCACAAAGCAAATTGCCTTTTAATACATCACCAAACACAGGGGTGAGGCTCCGGATAGCTCTTTTCTCCTCAGCACCTTCCAGCTGCCACCAGCAGCACAAAGAAATCATGGAGCAGAAAATGAGATGCTGCTACCAGAACAGACTTTATCTGTACAGCCACGAGGTACAGAGAGATCAGACACTAGTGGCAGAAGATAGACAGACCCCCCCCCACCATCTGTCATAGCCCCAAGCAGCAGTTCCCCCACCCCAAGGCCCATCTCTTGCAGCATGGGGAGCCCCTGGTATGCCCCAGCACTGTCTCACAGGCACCAGAACAACAGAGCCTAGTGAGCAGAGTCCATCCTGCTGCTTTTTGGATCTGGATCATGGCCAGTCAACTCCTTGCCCGAACTAGGTGCTCCTCAAAGCCACCTTAGAGTGGTCCAGCACGTTTCAGCATTGCTCTGCTCCCAGCCTGCAAAGAGGAGTTTGACCTTTCCCAGGCCCCATGAGGTGAGGCAAAGCTGGGCATGAAGCATGAGACCCAGGGAGATGTGGCCACTCTACACCAGGACATGTGGGCTTGCTGCTGGCCCTGCGCTAATTGCCTGATTTAATTTGATCCATAAACGCTTAACACTGGTGTGCAAGGCAGATGTGATGCTCAGGGTGATGGGTGCATGAGGGGATGGTGTGAATGTCTCCAAGAACTCTGATCTCTCTAACCCAATGTTGCAAGTCAGTGTGGTCTCAAATCATCCCCACCCTCCCTCCCCAAAAAAATCATTGCTTTTTTTGTGGATTTCCCTGATGGATCTGCAAGACTTTGCTCTCATGGTGGGGAAAAAACAATTCATTCACATCTTAGGTTACATATATAGAAAAGGAAGAGAATTCAACAAAGTGGTTGTTCTGGGCTGCAGAACAATGGTTTGAGGGGCACCAAGTGGGTCTGAAGAGGAGAGGCAGCCAGTGGTCACTGCATCCCTCCCTGCCTTTCCTTCTCACTTTGACAGAACCACAGGGGAATCCCCACTCTTCTCTGTCCCACCGCCCTGTGGAGCAGAGGATGACAAGGACAAGCCAGTGACAAACCCAAGGGGAGCTTGGCTGGACCTTCCCCACCCTACATCCCAGAAAAGTCACAATGCCTGGTACCCACCTCTTCCAAATTCCCCTCGGAGGCTGCTGGAGAGCCCAAATCCCCAAGATGCCTCCACTCCCACCAACTCCACCTCTCACTGAGACCCTTCAATGCTGCTGAGCATCTTGAAGTACTTGGTAACATCTTTTCCAAAGGATTTGGATGGTCTCTGGAGGAGATGGAGAGCGCAGGAGGGAAAGAGGCTCAGACCAGACGAGATGATGTAGGGGACTAAACAGCAACATGGCAAGGGTGGTCCAACACAGGGGATGAGGAGACCACGCTATTTTGTTGAGAAACAGCAGCTCAGTGCTACCTGCCTGTGAAGCAGCAGCTCCATTTGCAAGAGGCTGCCTCAAGCACATGCATGTGCCAGCAAGTAATGTCCTTCCTTGGACCCCAGAAGCCCACAAGCCTCCCCAGTGGCAGAGCTGCATCTCCCTGAAAGACTTCTCATGGAACAAAAAGTCCAAACCACTTCATCTTAGACTGCCTGACAAAATCCTGACAGACCAGGGAGCATGGGGCACAGCTGGCAGGTATGAGAAGAGCTCACAGCTGCTCCTGGCTTTCCAAGACAGGACTCCTGGTTCACACAGAGTTCCAAAGCGGGCTGCCCACAAAGGATGGTATAGCTACACCGCTGGCAGACCTCTGTGGCAAGCACATTTCTCTCACTCTCAGGATTTTTCACAGAGGTGCACAGAGAGAAATGAAAGAGAAAACTTCTATTTCTGCTCCTTGTTTTTCTTATGTGGAATGAGTTTGGAGAATTGTTTACCTGGAGTGAGTGCTTGGTTGGATTCTGGTGAGGATCGTTTGAGCCTGATGGCCAATCCAACCCACCTGGGGCTGGGCTCTGGAGAGAGGGTCACGAGTTGTGTTAGAGTTAGAGAAAGTAGTATGTAGTTTTAGTATCTTCCTTTTTATATAGTATATTAATGTATTTTAGCATAGTTATAATAAAGAAATCATTCAGCCTTCTGAATTGAGTCAGATATCATCATTTCTTCCCACTGGGTTCGCCTGCATTTACAATTGTCTTGGTTTGAAAAGACATAAGTCTGTGAAGGAAGGCAAAAGCCTCCTGTGAAATGGAAAAGGTAAACCCCCTCCTTCCGAATTACCACAATTTCAAAATTAAAAGACTCTCAGGCAAAGATATGGGAATGGGAATAACAGTTCTTTACTAGGAGGAAAACTAAATAAAAAAAATAATAAAAACCTAATTAGTACAAACAAAACTAGTGATAAAGTCAGAAACCTGACACCCTGAGGAGTCAGAGTGTTGGTAATAGTCCAGTTAAATGGTGGCTGCTCCTCCTGGAGTGGCAGATGAAATGCTGCTGGAGCGGGGATCTGGAGAAGGGTGTAGTTTTCTCTGAAGGTCTGGTAGTAGTTGAGCCTGGTCTTCCTTTGGGAATCCAGCAGAGAAGAAAGGTGCTCCTCTGGGAATCCAGCGAAGGGCTGCCTTGGTGTCCCAAAAAATGCTGATTTTATGCAGGTAGGGTTGCTTGGCTCCTCCCTCTGGGTGGAGCATCTCACAATGGGATGATGTAACTTTACCAGTCATGCAGTGAGTCATTCCATGGCCCATTAACAGAAGATACCTTCCCCGAGGGAGACATTGTTCTTGGAAGAGATTAGAAAACTGCCCAACCTCCAACAGATGGCAAATAGAACACATGCTTATCTTACAAGCCAGAACAACAACAGACCTCCACAGGAGCTGGGCACCCCTCAGGTCCGGCAGCCCTCACACCTCACCTTGAGCTGGATCTCACAGGTACAGAGGGGCTGCCCAGTTGAGAAGGGAACTGATGGGCAGCCAGGACCCTGCCTGGAGCACACGGGTGCTCCTGCACCCACCTTCACAGGGAGAGCTGCTGAGCACCTTGAAACCAAGCCCGGTGAGGAGGAGGGTGCTCCAGGGTGGTTCTCAGCAGGGCAAGGCAAGGCACCTGGCTGCTGTGGAAGGGGTACTTTAGCAGCATCCCTCAGGAAGCTGCTCTCATGCCTAAAAAGGCTGTTTCCATACTGGCACCTGGACAGCACAAAGCAGTCCTTCTGGTGGGTGCTGGGATCCATGCTGGATCTCAGCAGGAGTCCACTGTGGTGCACTGGCCCTGCCCCATGGCTCCTCTGAGGAGCTGCCCCAGCCTCTGAGAACCCCTTGTCCTCTCGGAGCACTGCCTGCTCCCCCTCCCAGGAAAAGCTGGGGTCTACATGGGCTACCAGGGGCTCTTTGGGAAAGCTGCCATGCCCTGGCAGCTGCCTGGCTCCTAAGGGTGCAGGGAGAGCAGCCTCCACATCACAGAGCTTCCCATCCCTAGAGAACAGGGACTCATGCAAGCCCTGGGCAGGGCAAGGAAAAGACTGGGACAGGGGTGGCCACCAGAGTCCAGCCCCCGGGGAATTCTCAGGACTGCCATCTGGCAGAGTCTGGGACTCCATGTATCCTCCTGCAGCTTCCAGCTGTTGTGGAACCATGGCCAGCAAAGCCTCCGATGGGCAACTGGCTGGGTTTGCCTGGAGGAAGACATTGTGCCGCAGAGTCACCAACGTGTTTGAGTGCACTGGGGGTGAGCAGCTGGAGCCCACCAGCTGGCACCCAGACTGCCTCTGAGTATTATCTACAAGACCAGAGGGGGTAGCTTCTGCCTGAAATGCTTGGTTTGCCAGCTGAAGTACTGCAGATGATTTGCTGCTGGAGATGGGGACACCTAGCACAGTCCCTGCCACCAGCCCGGCTGGGTTAAATGGGACCTGCTGCTCTGGCTGGGCAAAGCTGCCCTCAGAGGTCACGGAGGCTACGGAGCCCACAGCCCCCTGGCCTCCCCATGTGCCCGCTGCCTGGGGCTGTGCTGGGAATGCTGAACCAGCTGCCCAGCAGTGCTGGAAGTGAGCCATAGCACTGTTTTCCTCATGGCAGTGTTGGAAGTCCAGGCTCGTTCCAGCACTCTCCCTAAGGAGCATCTGCTCCATACAGGATGTCACCTTGGTGCCCGGCCTCTGGCCAAGCCCCTGAGCTAGTGGCTCCTCCTCTGCCCCCAAGCTGAGCAGAGCTTCCTCCCACTGCTGCAGCTCCGTGCTGTCCACGTTTAGGGTCTGGCAGACGTTTGCATCCACCTCACTCTTCTCAAAGAGGGTTTCGATGACCACCAGGAGGGAGTCGCTGTCCTCCTTGGCACTGCTGACATCCTCATTCTGAGTCAGCCCATCAGGCTCAGGGATGACACCTAGCAGGGAAAACTGAGGCACGTTATCAGCGTGGGAATTGTATATGGATGCATCCTGCTTCATCATGGCCCCAAGGAGAGAGTTGGGGTCTACCAAGCACTGCTCTGACTTGGAGTTTGCTTGCACCTGCTACTCCTCCTTGGCTTGGAACGAGTCCAAGAACCCAGGAAGGTCATTCCCATACAAGACTGCTTCCCCTGTGGCAAAGCTGAAAGGCAGCTGCAGGTTTCTCTTCTGGAGATGTTCCTCCCCTTCTTCATTCCTTCGGTGTGGAGGCAAAAATGGGTGGAAACAGCATGAGCAGCTCCTCCAGTCCAGACAAAACCACCCTTCTGACAGCACGAGGGGAACTCACAGCCCTGCCCTGGCTTTTCGAGAGTAAAAGGGGGCTGGATTGGGCTGGCTACAAGAGGGCTCTGGGGAGCCCACAGGGAGATCTGCATGGCTCAGGGAAGGGCTGCTGCTCCCAGGTAGGAGCATGTCCACACCCACCTCCTCAGAGCTGCTTCACTCACACTACAGGAGGACAAATGCTGCAAAATCCAACCTCACCTACCCTTTCCTCCACCTTCATGGCCTCTGTGTGTGCCTTGGGCAGCCCCCCACGCCCAGAGCAGCAGAAGGGGGCCAGCAATACTCACGACAGCGCTCGCTGGCGGGCGATGATGCAGTCGGGCCTGTCTCCTTTGTACACCAGATGTGCACTGGCCTGCACCCACAGCCAGCTGTCCCTCTTGGTCAGGAGCCAGAACACCGTCAACCCACTCTCCCCTGTCTTCATCACTGGGGCAGGGACACAAAAGAAGTGCCACAGACAGAGTTCCTCCACAGAGGAATGACACACGCAAGATGCTACAAGGTTGAGCATCACCTCGTGGCTGTGCTACGAGGGCAGGAGATGCAGTGTGCTGTCCCTCTGCCAGCTCCCCGAGCTCATCCAGGAGGAAGAATCTTTGTCACAGCTACTCCAGCCCCGGGACGGACAGCACCAAGGAGCAATAGTACAGCCAGAGCCTTGAGGGACCCCACAAACATCCCCCCAAAAACCCCCAAGCACTCACTTCTCACGTGGTGCTCTGCGCAGTGCATCACGTCAGCTGCATGAACAAACTGGTATCCCGACCCCCTCCTGCACAGCTCCACTTCCGTGTATCCCAGGACAACCTTCCCCCTGGAAACAGCACAGGAATGCAGTGACACCAGGAATGCATCCCCCACAGCTGCACCCCACTGGCCAGACCCCCACTTTGGATGGTGCAACACTGCACCCTGGGCCGAGCTGCATCCCCTGTTCCACAAACCACGCAAACCACAGCAGACAAGAAGTGCTGGTGCCCCGTTAACCTGCTCCCTGTGTTACTGGGGGCCTGCAGTAGAGGGACAAAAGCATCAGGCCATAGGAGCTGGGTCAGGTTTTCCTTGTCCCCACCAGGTCTAGTTTTCTGTCCAGCACCAAGGATTTTGTGAAAGTGAAAGATGCCTTACTGGGAATCACAGGCCATTGGAGGGAAGTCCAGCTTGTGCTTTGTCTGGAAGATCAGTGTTTTGGTCCGGAGCTCCAGGATGGAGAGAGGCTGGAGGAGTGTGGCAGTGGCAAAGAGAGCAACTGGGGACTTGTCTGCTGCTGTCTTTTGCTGCCCAAGAAGGAACTTCAAGCACCCATGGAAATTCAAGGCCTTACAGGGATTAGAAAACGTGAGTGTGAAGCAAACAGGGTGGTGGGAATTGGCTGTGCTCTCATCCCTATGGGACACAAGTGGTTCTGGGGAACGCCCTGCAGGCACAGGGGGAACAGAAGGTGTGGCAGCATTACCAAGGATCCCGAGGAGTTATCCAGCAGGCAGCAGAAGCGGCAGGTGAAGCTCCTCTCCACGAAGGATTGCTTCTCAGCATGGAGGTGCTGGGGGCTGCCTAGGGGGAAAAGCTGGAAAAGCAAAAGCAAAAGGAAGCTTTCCAAACTGCGCTGCACATCCTGAGCTCACGGATCCGAGCTGCCCAAGTGAACCCCTGCATGGATCACCCTGGCACGGCCCTGTCGTCTGCATGGATCAGCTCGTACATGCTCTGGTAGATGAGATCCGACTGGAATGACAAAACAGAATAGTGTCTGCTCCTGGACAGCCTGGCAGAGGTGTCGGGAGGAGGACATGACAGAAGATTTCCCTTCCTGAGCACTAGAAGTGCAGGATTGAGTGTAAAGAACAGGCAAACTCCAGCTCCTTCCCCTGCCACAGGAGCTGCTGCCCTTTGGGAAGCTTTGCTCTCCATCTGCATCTCCTTCCCACACCAGGACTGCATCCATCTGCTCCCAGATAGGAAAACATGGTGCTCACCTGGTGGAAGCCCAAGTAGTCCTGCATGGTAGGGGAGATGTAGAAGATGTGGCCGTCTCCAGTCACGGTGATGACAAATCCATTGTGTGCCTGAAAGCAGAAGTTGAGTCTAAACTTACTCTGCCCAGCTTCAATTCAGCTGCTGAACAATGAAATCTCTCAGCTGTTTCTTCAGCATCCAGGGACAGGAAGGGACCTTCTTCCTCAACAAGGAGCCCCACAAAGAAGGACAGCACTTGGTAACTAAGCACGATTCAGTTCTGTGGAGTTTCTTAGCACAAGCAATGATCCAAGCTGGACTGACCACTTTCTCCAAACCTCCCATGGAACCCCCTCTCACTGCAGGGCAGCTCCTGAATCAGGAGGGACCAGATAAGGAGAGGTTTTATGGTGGATCTGGAGTCCTCTTTTCCAGCTGGGAATAGCTATACTCTCCTAGGGCTGTGCTTTGGACACGACGATCCTTGTGGGCTCCTTCCAGCTCTGCACATTCTATGATGCTGGTGACCATTTCAGGTTGATTTCCCCCAAAAGCAAAGCACTGCACTAGATAGTAACTCATGCCCCCTGTTCCTCACTGTGACATGTTTAATTTATTAGTGAATGGAAGGAGAGAAATCAGGGAAAGAACACCCTAAATGGAAGCGTTACAGATCCAGCTTGCTGAGGGACCAGTCCCTTCCCTTTGTGTGCTGCAGCACCCTGAGGGATCCCAAGTCAGAGATTTCTGCAAATCGCAGTATATGTTTAAAATTATCTTTGTGGGGTGGAAAAAAAGCCACCAGACAGCTCAGCGGGAGGATTTCTGTCACAGTAACACCTCATAAGCTCTCCATATGCCTTCAATCACCCCAGCCTGCACACGCTCTTATGTTGATCGCTCAACAAATTGCCATCATATGGTCCAAGTCCAAAGCCCTGGGGAGTGCTCAGGGGATGCTGGGGCAGTCAGGGGCTCCCTCCTGGCATCCAGCTGCTCCTCTGTGACCATCACACTCGCACACAGCTGGGACTGTGGGGGACCTGGTGTGATCTAATCACTGCCAAAAGTCACACTGAGCTCCCAGGAATCACTGCCTCACCAAAATCCCACATAGAGGCTCCTGCTGGGGGTCTGCTCACACGGCCTGCTGCCTGGAGGGCTCTGCAGGAGCAGGGCTGAAGAGACCAAAGCCAGGCTTAAAGAGAGCCAAGAATTCATCTGCTGGCGTTTGAAGAGGCAGGAGAAGAGGACTGAAGGCCCAGAAAGCCTACAGGAGAGCTGGAGAAGGTGGGCAGGCCCTGGCACAGGGTGCCCAGAGAAGCTATGGTTCCCCCTGGATCCCTGGAAGTGCCCAAGACCAGGCTGGACAGGGTTTGGAGCAACCTGGGATAGTGGAAGGTGTCCATGCCCATGGCAGCTCATCACAAGATGAGCTCTAAGGTCCCTTCCCACCCAAACCATTCTGGGATTCTGTGAAAGCCCAGGCATGGGAGATGGCAAGAACACAGAGTGATTGAAGGTCTTGCACAGACTCGTCCTGCAGCCCCAGTAAGCATGCTCCTCAGCTGATGGGCCCAGATGCTTGTTCAGCAGTCAGCCTTTCCATGTGACTTCCCATGCCAGGCCCTTCCAGCTCACATTTATAAATGGCAGCCCAAGCCAGCAGCATTGTGGGGGGCTGATTCACCAGGCCCTTTTGCTCTGAGCTTCACTGTCAGCTATTTCATGAGACACATGTGACCTTTCTACAAAGCATAGCTCTCATTTCCCACTGGTTTTGTCCACCACTGTTGTCCAACATCCAACTGCTTTTCTTTTCTCCCCCAAAACCTACAAACTAAAGCTGGGCTTTTCCCATCCTAGGCAGGCTGTGAACTCATCCCTACGGAGCTCGCACAATGCCCCAGATAAGGCAAGGAGTTCCTGGGGGAGGTTTTGTCCCACAGCTCTCAACATTCTCCTCTTGGCCTTTGCTAAAGATAATGAACCAACCCAGCACCTTGGGAACTACTCGGGGATCAGCTACTCAGGGAACTACTTACACCACCATATGGCATCCTTGAACCTCTTGGTTGGGATGATGGAGCTTGTGTCTATGAGATGTAACATAATCAAATGGGCAGCAAATTGCTGTAGGATGAGAGGGAATGGTGGGAATGGGGATCTGGACCCATCCCAGCCAGGCAGTGCCACTGGTCTCTGTCCCCAGGAACTCATTGCCTGCAGGAATCACAGTGAAGCAGCTCTAGTCGAGGCAGGGTCTCCTCCTGCTCCACAGATGCGACCACAAGCTCCAGAGCAGCTTGGGGAGACCCCAAATGACCAAGCCATAGCACCATACCTGGAGCAGCAGCTCCCCCTCAGGAAACAGCTCCCTGTCACCTTGCGGCTCCGTCCATCTGTCCCCTCTTGGGAATCTGGGCTGATCCACACGGTTACCAACGTTTGGAGCTGTAGCTGAAAGTGAGAAGGCAAGAAATGAGTGTGGAAGAGGCGAGGCAGGAGCCTCTCACTCCTCCTTCCCACCCCAGGGCTGCTGATGCAGCTACTGGATGCCATGGACCCAGTGCAGCACGGAGGAAGGTGTGACCATCGGTGGGAACTGGCACAGAGCCCACCTACAGAGCCATGCCCAGATTGCCCGAGGCCTCCTCCAAGAGATTCTTTCCCCTGCTTGATCTAATTTCTGGGAAACCTCACTCCTGCCAGGCTGTGAGGCAGAGATGCAAAGGACAGAGGGGGGCCGAGTGCTTCTGTGCTGCCCAGGCTGGAGAACACCACCCAACACAGCCAGGAGGCTTCTGGCTAGAGCCTTGCAGAGTTGGAGTTGCCTTCAAGCCACCCCACTAGGGTGCTGTCTGCTCTGCTGCCCTTCAGGGTTAGAGAATGACAAAGCACCTCAGATGCCATCAAAGCACCCATACTTGTTTTCTCCCTTCCACCTTTGGCTGCCTGGAAGCAGATCAAGAGCTGGTGGCCATGGTACTCCCAGGGACACCCGAGAGCTCTCGGCTCCCAGGACTTGCTGCCATGACCTCCCTAGGCTGATTCAGGAGCTGCCTCATGCTTCAGCACTGGATGCCTTCAAGGCAACACCTCTGCTGGGTGCAGCCAGCATGAAACCTCCTGCTGCCCTGCTCGTGGGACCTCAAGCATCACAGAAATCCCACAGAACCAGTTGTTCAGGGAAAATGAATGAGGACAGAGGCTCCCAGGCAAATCTCCAGCATGATCCTTTATCTGCTGATTATCATTGAAAAAACTCAATGCAAGCTCAGCTGCCAGCAAAAGGATGATTTTCAAGACATGTTTTTGTGCCAGCTCACACACAAAAAAAGGGTAAATCACAGAAAAGCTCAAAGCAGCTCCCATGTAGGAACCATCCCAGCCCTGCCACCACCACCAGCAGCTCGTGCAGCTCCCTAAGGTCTGACCGAGCTCATATACTCAGCGTAATTCCCACCCCAGCAGAGAGCACTGCCCAGGTGTCGGTGCTGGATCCAAAGGGAAAAGATCCTCTGAGTGCTGGATATGAGGAAGAACCTCAAACCATCCCAAGTCTGACCATACATTTAATTTTCTCCATGGCAGAAGCTCTCACTTCACCACTGAAATGCTTTTAAGGTTTGTTTGGTTTCTTCCCTAGTAACACCAAGTTCAAAACCAAATTTGGAATCTAAAGAAATTTCACGTGCAACTGCCGATCTGGGACATTATGCTTTGCAGCAAACCTGATGGATTGGCATGTTTGAATTCAAAATAATTTGGAATCAAAGCATCTCTGGGATGTATTTATACCCAGAGCCCGAGTGCCAACAAGTACCCACCCATGGAGGCTTTCATCAACCAGGACATGGATACAGTAGGGTTAGGGTAACTAGCTGCAGGTCTTGCATAAGGTGACACAAATAGCAGTGGAGAGGGTGCTCTGGAGCAGAGTCAGCCTCCATCTCCATCGCTGGCAGAGCTGGGATCCTTCTCGCTCCCTCAAACCTTCAGCACTCCTTGGAGATGCTCAGGCAGCATCTCCACCTTATCCATCAGCCATGGCTTCTGCTCTTTTCCATCCTGTGCTGTCAGACCAGCCTCCTCAGGGGATGTGAGACCTCTAGGAAACGTTGGGAAAGATGAGATTCAACAGAATCTTTGCTTGGAGACACCAAACAAAAAGCCCCCTCACATGATTGCCGAGTGATCCTCAAGGAAAAAAATCCCATCTGGACCACATGGCTTCAATTTGCACTTCATGGAGTGTAATAGTTTCAAAATGAAATACCGATTCTCATTTAAATTTTTATTTCCTTTGAAGGGTTGACTCCTCTCTAAAGCACTGAAATGAGAGGCAGGCTGGCAGGGGATTTAAAAAAGAAGCAAGTTCTTCCAAAATAAAGCTCCAAAAGGGCACAGAACCTTTTGAGAGCATGCACATCCTGAGAGCATCTGGTCTCCAGCTCTCGCCCAGCATTCATCAGCAGTATCTGCAGGGAAAGCTGGGGAGAGCTGCTGTGGCTTTCAGAATCCAGCTGGAAACACCCATTTTGTGCTTTCCAGCAAAATTTCTTCACCTCTCCCACTGATCTTAGCAAGGGGCTTTTAATCTCCGACCAAAGGTGCTCACTTCCCCTTCTCTCAAACACAGAGCAGCCAATTTCTGCAGAGCTGAGCTCAAAAATCCTCCAGAATTTGTCTCCCATGGGATACACCTGACCTGGGGAGAAGGTCTGTAGCATGGAGAGAGGGGAGGAAACTCAAAGAGATGTTGTCTGCCACCAAAGTACTGGCGGTATGGAGCAGCTGGTGATCATATCCAGCCCAGTCCTCACCATCCACAGCCAGGGGCCATGTTGTTCCTGTGGCTCTCCTCCTGCAAACAGGTCTCTGAACTCATCCTCACTCAAACTGCCAAGAACCATTGGCACTGGGAGCAATCCCAGGAGAAACCCAAGCACTTCCAGGCAGAGGACTCCAGATCCATACAACCACCAAGGGCACAGGGGCTATTCCCAGTCACTTTTTGACTTGGAAGGGAAAACCCAACATTTTAACCATATCCCAGCTCATTTATAACACAGGAAACCTCATGGGAGAGAGGGGTCACTCCTGAAACATCCCCTCGCTTGAAACAAGATGGGGAGATGCCACCCTCTGGAATCCCACCCGGAGCTGTGGATCCCTCAGCCTGCTGAAGCCAGGTCTCCAAGGGGACAGTGGCTAAGATGGACTGGAAACAGTGGCTGGCAGGAGGAAGAGACCCCCGCTGGCTGCCAGGCAGGACAAAGCAGGTGACGAGCTGTATTAAAAGCTGGCTAATTCATCCTATTTAACACACTCCTTCTAATGGAGCAGTTCAGACTCCCACACAAAGCAGCTGAGACCACAAATTAATGGGATTAAAGGAAACAGGTCCAGCATGTATCCAATCTATAATATACCCACAACAACAAAAGTAACTGGTAATAGGACAATTCACTTTTGCTGTTTGTGCCAAGTTTTTTCCATCTCCTGCAGTGCATCTTGAACAATTAATGAGAATCAACAGGTGGATGTGGTGCCTAGGGACATGGGTTAGTGGTGGGCTTTACAGTGCTGGGTTAATGGTTGGATTTGATGATTGTAGAGGTCTTTTCCAAGCTTAATGATTCTTTTATTCTATGAAAAAGACCATGGCAAAAGCCATCTGCATTACCAGGTAAGTCCCAGGCATCTGCTGGAGCAATGTGGTGATCACTTACATTTTCAAAGTGCTGGGACAGAGGCTGTGTGTAATTTTTAAGACAGTAGGAGACAATCCAGCTCTGTCCTGAACCAGCCAGAGCACTACAGGTTTCCTGCTGCTGGTGTGATCCCCAAAGACTGCAAGGCTTTCACTCAGCCTGGGAAGGTAACAGACAGGATCAGCAGAGCTTCCAGCATCAATGAATCAGGATGTGCCCCATACATCCCCAAGAGCACCCCGCTATGGGTTGGCTTTCTTGCCTCTGCAAGCAGGTTCCTAAGCCCTGCAATGGAGGAAAAAATTCCAGTGGGAGAAAGAAGGAAGAAAGAGCATGACAGAAATAAACCTTCCCAAAGTCATCTAATCTCTTCACTTTTTTGCCCATCACATTCACAAAGAAAGAGAATGTGATGGGCAAGGCAGCCATGGAGGCTAAAACACATCCCTTGCCTCTGGCATAGATTTGGTGCTGAAAATAAAAGGTTATTGGCAACAACCCCAGAGCCAGATCTTCTCTCTCAGACTGGGTTACACTGGGAGGAGTTGATAAGCTTCACGCATGGCAAACACTTCTCTTTGAACAGGCTCTAGAGGTGCTTGGCATCCAAAAACCAGGAGCTTCCAACTCCTCAAGTAACACCAAGCCAGGCACAACCATTTTCATTTTGGATCCAACCCCAAACCCTGTCAATTAGCACTAACCTTTGCCTCATCTGTTTAACAAAGGTACGGTGCCAAGCAGAGCAGGCTCATGCCATCCAAGTGAAACAGACAAATGCCAAATCCACAGATTATAAACTATTTGGAAAAGCACTCAGCATTTTCCAAGGAGTACAGAAATGCTCTGGGGAGCACTGGCATCTCCAAGTCCACATCAGCCTCTCCAGCCTGCTGCTGCAAATCTTCATCCCACACAGTCCTGCAGGATCTTGCCCAGGGACAGACTTGAGCTTGACTCCTTTCACTGCCTCAGTTACTTCAGGCCCAGAGCCCTGCAGCTGTGGCCCAACAGCCAGCTCTGGTAACAACAAAGAGGAGGTGAATAACAAAGCTAATTTAGTGCTGATTGCAGTGAGATTACCCAGGGAGACCTGCTGGCAGCTGCCCTGCAGCAGAGCACTGGGGACTGAACTGGTGAGACCAGCACCAGAGGTGGGAAAGGACCTGGTGAGACCTCCCAAGCCCAGCCCCTGCTCCAGCCAGGTCAGCTGCATGGAAAGGTAGCCCACTGTTCACTGTTTGCTAGGAGCTGTTAGATTATCTCAAGCTTTGCCAGACTCCAGAGTGTGGTCTCACACCACGACAGGATTTTACATGCGTTCTGAAAGAGATTGGGTTAAGTTGAATGTTGGGAAAGAATTATTCCCTGTGAGGATGGTGAGGCCCTGGTACAGATTACCAGAGCAACTGTGGGCACTCCATCCCTGGGAGATTTTCAGGCCAGGTTGGACAGGGTTTGGAGCAGCCTGGGATAGTGGGAGATGTCCCTGCCCATGGCAGGGGGTGGAACGGGATGAACTTCCTTCCAACTCAAACCAGTCTGGGACTCTGTGATCCTTCCTCTTGCAGACCTCCCTGCCTGGAGTCTTAGGAAGAAAGCATGGCAGCACATTTCCTAATCACACCTTCTTCACCTCAGAGAGCATTTTAAGCCCCCATTTTCTTGCTCACCCTTGGCAGAGCCACATCAGCAATCCCAACATCTGCCTCCTTTGTTACAGGAACCGTAGGAAACGAATCCCAGCACAGCTCTCCAGCTACCTGCAGCTTTACCAAGTCACTGAAATCCATCCAAGCTTTCATGAGATCTCCCTCTTTGCAGCAAGTGGGGCTCCTGTCACACCACAGAGAGGCCAGAGGATCGTGGCAGTCAGCAACACAGACACCAGCTTTCCTCCTTGGGCGCTTTCTCTCAAAGAGACAGGATCAGCAAAGTCACTCCAGATTTGTCTGGGAGGCTGTCACACAGGTCCAAGTAGCAACCACTGCAAATTGGTTTGCAGAGAGAGCTCAGCACAAATCTGGCAGTGAGGTTCAGTCACTGATTTCACAAATGACAAAACCTTTCAAGTGCCTCTGAGGCAGGCAGTGATAGCGCCAGAGCTGTCAGCACTGCTCCCAGGCTGGGCCTGATGGGCAAAGCTTGAGGAGACCAAGACCTGAGCCCCCCGATTTTGCACAGGGAAGGCTGAGATCCCAGGCAGCAGAGAGCTGTGCAACATCTGCAGTGTTTGCCCCAGGGCACAGAGGAGTTACAGATGTGCACAACCTGAATCAGCCCCTGGAGGCATGGAGGGAGCTCCCAGAGCGTCCCTCTCTAGGCTCGAAGCTTAATATTTCCAGCAAACTACTAATTAGTCTGGTTTCTCGTTAATGCACAGACAGAGAATAATATTTAAAAACAAAGCAGATTCAAAGGATGATGCAGTGAGGCACTATCCTGCAACAGAAACCAAGATCCCATGAAGATGACAAATCCCTTTCTTCATATCCGCTGTGGAAGCAGGCACTGATAGGAGCACCCAAACCCACTGTGGTTGTCCTCTGCTCTGTCCCACCCTAAACACTGCCCCAGGCTCTGATGCCTGGCTTCCTACACCCCATTAAACAGGTTCGTTCCCAAGCCAGAGGCACACAGTACCCACACCTCAGAAATACCAGAGAAGGTGGAGAAAGCTGGAAGCCCCTTCTCAGATTTCTCCTGGCATTAGCAGTCAGACAAGATGCAGACAACACCGGGAAGCTCCACTCTAGGGCTGGAGAAATGCAGCACAAGGGAAAAAGGAGCCTCAAGGCATCACCCTGAGCCCACTGAGCAATAGGTCTCTCAATTGCCTGGAGATGAGGCAATTACCAGTCTATCAAAACATCTATCTCTCTCCTGCCTGGAGATAAGGCTGGGCTTGGGCTGTGGATGGGGAGAGGCTAGGGATGCTCTTCAGAGGATGCCATGCTCTCCTACCCCGGGAGAAGAGCCTGCACAAAGCACAGGACAGCAAACCTGAGGCAGAAAGCTGAGCACGTCCCCCCAAAATACCTGACAGGACATGCCAGCAGCAGGCTGCTGTGGCCTGCAGTTGGCACAGGCCTTCATCAGGCATGCCTGAGACCCCGTCCCACCCTGCTGTATCTGGGATGATCTGAAGTCAAACAAGATGAACTTCGGGGCAGAGCGAGGGGAAGGAGCTGGAAATCACAGGCAAGTGGTGACCAGATGGGAATAAGTGACCCGGCAGAGCAGGACTCCAGAAGCCCTGCAATGCCAAATGCTTTTCCAGAGCAGCTCTCTCGCTGGGAAGCACACGCTGAGCACATCCACTGGGAACCAGCTCCTGCTTGGAGGCACAGGTCCCATCTGGAGAGTCTGGCAAAGGAGTCTCCTTCTGAAGCCTCATCCCAGCTGGAGAGGACCCTGGGAGAGCCCAGAGGAGTGGGCATGAGGGAAAAACCAAGGGAGCCAAGTTTATCCAATCTGTGGTGGGGAGAAGACACAATAAGAGCCTCTAAATATAAAAAGCTGCTGCTTCCTTCCTGCCCCACATGCTCTGCCTTCCCCAGTGTCCATCGCCCATTCCATCAGGCCCAAGTCACTGAAGAGGGAACATGTCCCTATCTGCATGTTCTGGTGACTTCTGGCAATGTGATGACTGCTCCCAGTCAGGCTCTGCACCATATATAATGTTAAAATTTATTAAACATACTGTAACTCTAATAATAATAATAAAGGGTTGAAGAAGAATAGGGAGGGAAGGAGAAGGAATATGGAATATGGAAATATAAGAATACCAAATATGGAATAAATAAGAAAATACAGAATATGAAATATAATAAAAGGGAATATGCAATATGTACTATATTATGAACATTCAATTATTTCGTGAATTTAATTTCAAATTGCCATTCCAGTTAGATGAGGGCATTGTTGCAGTTCAACAAGACACACTGTTTTACCCAGCTCTTCTCCACAGGGTGCTGGGAGTGCAACACAGGAGGAGTTTTGGACATAAAGGATGGCTGCTAATGAGATGGAGGAGATTTGCAGGAGGTCTCAGTTGCTGGGCAGGCTCCCAAGTGTCTCCCACCATCCATGGTGACATTTTCCTGCCAGTATCAACATTCAAGGGCCTGCTCCCATAACTCACCATCATGTTTCCTTCAGGATACACAACTTCCCATCCCAAAGCTTGGGGTAGAACACAAGCTGTGCATCGGGGATTGATTCCAGGGGCTTTCCCCCCCTCCCAGCATGGACACTCACCCATCAGGTAGCTCTTCACCTTCAGGTAGCCCACGGCCAGCCGGAGGATGGAGAGTTTATCCAGCCTGGAGCGCACATCCTCAGGGAAGGGCAGCAGCCCCATCAGCTTGTTCAGCTCCTGGTTCAGCCGCTCCCTGTGCCGCTTGGAGGGGTTGGACTTCACACCAAAGGAGTGCTTTGGGGCTGGAAGGGGTAGAGGAGAGCTTAATCAAACTGGGATTGTCCAACAGGCTCTTTTCAAACCCAATACTGGCTTTGGTGCAGCCACAACAGTAAAATGGTTTAGATGTTTCCACACACACCCTGATCCTCTTAGAAATCACAGAATCACAGAGTGGTTTGGTTTGGAAGAGACCTTAAAGCACATCTTGTTCCACCCCCTTCCAGTATCCCAGGTTGCTCCAAGCCTGTACAACCTGACCTGGAACACTTCCAGGGATGGGGCAACCATGGGGTGGAATGAGATGAGCTTTAAAATCCCTTCCAACCCAAACCATTCTGGGATTCTATGACTTAAACAAAGGGATATCATATAAGGTGATTTAGGACACTGCACTATGTATAGAGCCTCTCTTGAAAAAAAAAAAAAAAAAAGTTGATGTAAAAAGTTTTATTTTCTTCCAATATTATGATTTCTGTCCCTTTCAGATGGGCATTTCCAAATTAAACCAGCATTTGGTGACAAACTTAAGCACCAGGGGCAACCCTCAGCCTGCAAAAGGAACAGTGTCCAGGCAAGCAGCTTGAAGACTACATGAGGTCCCATCTCTGTGAGCTGCAGTTATTTCACCCACCCCAGCCAAAACGCCAGTACAGCAGTAAGAGCTCAGTTAATGACTTTAACAAGTCCTGCATGTCACCCTGTGTCCTTCATTTTTTAATGCCAATTTTAATTTCATAGCTCAAAGACAAACCCTTCAGTCTCCCCCCAGATCTGTATCTTGCTCAGCTGCATCCCCCTAACACGCGTCTCGTTTGGTTTGATGTAATTTGTCTAACCACAAACTCCTCTCTGCAGGCATCCTCACTTCAGGAAGGAGCTCTGGATAACAGGATCTGCCACTGTTTAGCAGCAATTTAAGCTCTCTCCTCCACCACCACTCTCCAATCTCATCTGGCAGGGCTGCTCACATATGTGACACGAGAGGAAATGAGCATTAAATGAAATGCACTGAAGTGCCTGTTGAATTCGCGGCTCAGAGAGAGATTGAGGGGTCTTTTAAGGCTAAATGGAAAATTGCAGCATTTCCCCAGGAAAGCTCAAGCCTGCTGTGTTGTAAGAGCAGCATCTGGAGGGATATCCCCTCTCACAGGGAGGCTGGCACAACCCAAACAGCTCCAAACTAGTCCACACAAGCTGGGTAAAAACACACTGGCACCAAGGCTTTGACAAACCTTAAATACTTTTGAAATCACAGTCATGTACCAGGAAGGAGAAAAATTAAAATAGTTTTCCTTTGGTTTAAAAAAAAGGGGTGAAGAAAAATTTTTTGAGATTCCTCAGATATCCTTTAAAGTCTTCTGGTCACTCACCATCCAAATCCACTCCAAACAGACAGAAAGAAGAGAAAATGAGCCTGGAGATGAGCACGGCAGTGGGTAAAACACTGAGGTATAACAGAACCACTGGGATAGCCTGGCCAAACACTGAAAATCCTCTGGCTGAGGCACACAGGGTGACACAGCGAGCAGCAAGTCACCCTGTGTGCCCAAGGAGGACACCTCTGTCCTGCACATCCCAGCTGCAGCACGCCGGGTGCTCCATGGCCAGCCTTGAGAGGGGGGATGCCAGTGAGGAAAATGCCTCATGGAAACAGTGAAGCTTGCTCTGGACGTTTAAAACCTGTTTAAGCTCCCTTCCCTTTGGCCCAGTGGTTATGAAGCACACTGTGCCATGGGGTTCATGGTGAAGCTAGTGGCCCCCATGCTGAAGGAAAGCTCAGCTCCCAGCCCCAAAGGCTGTGCTGCTGCCAGGGTTTGTTTTTCCTGAGCTGTGCTTTGAACGGCAACCCAGTAGGAAGCATATCCCTTCTGCAAGCTGGCAAGTACCAGGAGAGATTTGTTCCTGAAAGTGGAACTTGCATGAGCTGATCTATTGTCTCCTAATTCTTATGAATAGGTTTTTTTAGTAAGTAAAAAGCCCTGAGCAGACTGCAAAGGGGCTGGAGAAGCCCCTCAGCCCATCCTCGCTGTCCCCTCTGGCTGGCTCTATGTCCCACTGCCACCAGCCCTGCTCAGCCTGGCGCTCTCAGCAGGATCCCGCTCCAAGATCTGACCCATCACAGAGAAAAAGAATCTCTTCCCAAGGCTGACCTTGCAGAACCAGGGAACAAGGGCCTTTCTGCTCCAAAGAGATACTTTCTCCTGCACCCTGAGCCACACAAATCCAGCCCAAACCCTCGGACTGGTATGCCAGAGGACTGGAATCACCACTGCAAGATGAACAGAAGACAGGTTTGTGGCAAAACCGCTATCCTTCATGTTTACACAGCAAGACTCCCAGTTAAATACCCAAGAGAGGCTCAGGGTCACCTCACCACAGGTTTGAAGTATTGATGCTCCCTCCTTCATCCTGGGCTTGGACTCAGCTCATCCATGTCCTCCCGCACAGCCTCCCAGAAACAGATACCCACCTTTAGCTCCTATACACTGGAAAAGCTGAGGTTAAACAGGCTGGTGGGACCTGGGGAAGGCATGAGGGAGGCAGGAAACACCAGGGACACCGAGGAGGATATAATGCAACAGCTACTGAGTAGCGTGGTAATTAATAATTAAGGAATCGAGATGTTTTGGTAGTTACTAATTGCTGTATGTTTAACTTAGATGAGCACCAAAACACAGCCCAGCCTGCGGATCACTGCTGAGCGGCTCAAACTCTGGCGAGCTTCCTCACCGGGATGCAGGACAAGCATCTTTGGGATTTCTGTTCTCCCACCAGCGTGCCAGAGCCAACACAGCGTTAGCTCCAATTAACCTTGATTAAAACCGAGCAACCCAAGCATGCTACTCCCTTTTGCTCCCCCCAGCGCTCGCACCAGAGCGGCTCCAAGCGCTTCCCCAGAACCAGCTGGGCTCTCGCTGCCCGGCTTTCGCTCCTCCTGCCCGGTCCCACGCACCGCTGTCCCTAGGTGACACCCTAATCCTGGGAACGCAGCCCCAAGGGCTACCTCCCAAGGGGACACTAAGTCCCAGGAAACACTGTGCCCGTGGGCCATCATCCACAGAGGAGACCAAATCCTAGGAAACACCGTGCACCTGGGCTGCAATCCTCAGGGGACACCAAAGCCTGGGTGTCGGAATCTGTGGGTATTGGTGATTCCCAGATTGTAGAAAGTCTCTGTCTTTCAGCCCCGCTGCCAAAGCAGAAGCCATAATTGGTCTGTGCTGTTTCAAGGTTGTTTATTCTGTTTATCTCTAACATGTTCTGCTGCTCTGCCGCAGCTCTGTCCTGCAGGGCAGCGTGTGGGGCTCTGCCCTCAGTGGGATGGTACAAACATTAAATACCACAAACTACCTGTGCTGGATTTACAATAACGTGCCAATATCTGTCACCTACGTTGGACAGTGTGTCCCCAGCCTGAACCAACAGAAAAATGCCAACACCACAGTGAAACATGGAGGGCATGAAGAAGGAGAAAAAGGACAAGGCACACCCAATTTCCTCATCTTGTCCCCTTTGGACCCCTAATCTAGAAACCTAAAATTTTACTTTTGCACCCGTGTCACATTTAATTATTACTCTTATCAAACACTCAAAGCTTGTAATTCATCCTGTAAGATTGAAAACTCCTCTCCATGGACAGAGATCACAGACAGTGTCTCTGGGGGCTCTGTCCAGGGGGGTTCCTGATCCCCTGCCAGGGTCCCAGAGCTGCCAGGGCAGCCAGAGGGAAGCCCTGGATTCCCACACCTGGGAAACACCGTGTCCACAAGCTGCTCTTCCCAGGGGTCCCCAAATCCTGGGAAGCACCATGACTGTAGACCACCATCCTATGTACAGATGACACTGAATCCTGGGAAACTTATCAGTGGGCCACCATCCTCTGGGACCATTGGATTGTGGAAATCACCACATCTCTGGGCCATTGTCCAAGGGAAACGTGGAATCCTAGCAAACACCATGTCCATGGGCCACCATTTGAGAGCCTGATGCCTGCTCAGGAAAAGCCAGCCTGTTCCTTCTCAATGTGCCTTTCCCTGAGTTAATGCTGCCCAAAGCTTCTACTCTTCCTCCCAAAACTGCTTCCCAGCTCCAGCTGCTGTGGTGAGGCCCTGGCACAGGTTGGCCAGGGGAGCTGTGGCTGCCCATCCCTGGAAGGGCTCAAGGCCAGGTTGGACAGGGCTTAGAGCATCCCACTTAGTCTGGTTGCAGACAGAGCTGTTGAGACACATCCCTTGTGGATTGTTTGGTTGGGTTTTTCAAGCTGTTTGCAAATTCCAGAGATAAATCCTTGACATGCAACTTGATTGCTTCTTGCCAGGGGGCAAAGCAGAAGCTACTAATGGTGTCACAAATGTGCCAGGTCAGCAGAGCTGATGTCACTTTGATGGGATTTTGTAAAACGTTTGGTTGTGACCTTCCTAGGCCCAGTAATTTAACAGTGTTTTTAAATAAGGGTTAGGGTTACTGCACATGCTCCCAGCCTAAAAGCTTGGAGATGTTGGTCAAGCACCTGAAGCAGGGTGCAGAGGGAATTAGGACAACAGGATGTGCAGGTATTGGAAAGAGACGTATCCCAGGCTCCCCACAGACATAGTGCAGGCATCCTGTCTGTCCCTCATCCCTTCTGCTCCCTAACCCGGCTGTTCATTGTCCTGCTTGGTCCTGGCCCCACCTGCTTCCTAACCCGGCTCTCCCCTGTCCCACCTGTTCCCTAACCGGCCTATTCCCTAACCCGCCTGTTCCCTATTCCCGCCTGTTCCCCATTCCCGGCTGTTCCCTAACCCGCCTGTTCCCTATTCCCGCCTGTTCCCTATTCCCGCCTGTTCCCTAACCCGCCTGTTCCCTATTCCCGCCTGTTCCCTAACCTGCCTGTTCCCTATTCCCGCCTGTTCCCTAACCCGCCTGTTCCCTAACCCGCCTGTTCCCTATTCCCGGCTGTTCCCTATTCCCACCTGTTCCCTATTCCCGCCTGTTCCCTAACCTGCCTGTTCCCTATTCCCGCCTGTTCCCCATTCACGGCTGTTCCCTAATCCGGCTGTTCCCTATTCCCACCCGTTCCCTATTCCCGCCCGTTCCCTATCCCAGTGCTCCCTAACTCGGTTGTGCCCCATCCCGCCTACTGCCTGTGGCTATCCCGACTGCCATTCCCCACTACCTGTTCCCTGTTCCTAACGAGGCTGTTCCCTGTCCCCCCTGTCCCTATCCCTAGTCCCACCTGCTCCCTGACCAGCCTCTTCTCTGTCCCCCAGTCCCTAACCCGGGCCCTTCCCGGTGCCGCCTGTCCCCGCTCTCCCTCTCCCCGCTGTCCCTGTCCCTGTCCCCGTCCCCACTCTCCCTGTCCCTGTCCCTGGCCCCCGCTGTCCCCACTGTCCCTGTCCCTGTCCCCACTCTCCCTGTCCCTGTCCCCCGCTGTCCCCACTGTCCCTGTCCCTGTCCCGTGTCTCCGCTGTCCCTGTCCCCTGTCCCCGCTGTCCCTGTCTCTGTCCCCTCTCCCCGTCCTTGACCCCTCTCCCCACTGTCCCTGTCCCCGCTGTCCCTGTCCCCTGTCCCCGCTGTCTCTGTCCCTGTCCTCGCCGTCCTTGTCCTCTGTTCCTGCTGTCCCTGTCCCCTGTCCCTGTCCCCGCTGTCCCTGTCCCCTGTCCCTGTCCCCCCTGTCCCTGTCGCTGTCCCCTGTCCCTGTCCCCGCTGTCCCTGTCCCCTATCCCTATCCCTGTCCCTGTCTCTATCCCTATCCCTGTCTCCATCCCTGTCCCTGTCCCTATTCCCGCTGTCCCTGTCCCCGTCTCTGTCCCCCCTGTCCCTGTCTCCATCGCTATCGCTATCGCTATCGCTATCGCTATCGCTATCCCTATCCCTATCCCTATCCCTATCCCTATCCCTGTCCCTGTCCCTGTCTCCATCCCTATCCCTGTCCCTGTCTCTATCCCTGTCCCTGTCTCCATCTCTATCCCTATCCCTGTCCCTGTCCCTGTCCCTATCCCTCTCCCTATCCCTATCCCTATCCCTGTCCCTGTCCCTGTCCCTGTCTCCATCGCTATCCCTATCCCTATCCCTATCCCTATCCCTATCCCTATCCCTGTCCCTGTCCCTGTCCCTGTCCCTATCCCTATCCCTATCCCTGTCCCTATCCCTGTCCCCTATCCCTATCCCTATCCCTGTCCCTATCCCTATCCCTGTCCCTGTCCCCTATCCCTATCCCTATCCCTGTCCCCATCCCTATCCCTGTCCCCATCCCTGTCCCTGTCCCCTATCCCTATCCCTATCCCTGTCCCTGTCCCTATCCCTGTCCCTGTCCCCGCTGTCCCCTGCGGGCAGTGGGCGTGGCCTGTGGGAGGGGCGTGGCCATGGGCGTGGCCTCACGGCGCCCTCACGCGCGGGCGCAGCGCCTCTCGGTGACGTAATCAGCGCTGGCCGCCGCCATGTCCTTGTGGCTGTCCCGGCTCGGCCGGGCCGCGGCCGCCCGGGCTGGGCCGGGGAGCTCCGGGCCGGGCTCCGTCCTGCTGCCGGTGAGTGCAGCTGGCTGGGCAGGGCTGTGTGCGGCGCTCGTCCTGCTGGGGCGGCGAGCAGAGACCGCTGCGGGCCGGAGATGCCTCTTCCCGGGGCGGGCTGGTCCTTGGACGCTGCCGGCAGGGAGCTGGGAGGGGCGGCGAAATGCGGGGCAGACTGGAGCAAATGCCCGAGAGTGGAGTGCGGTGACCTTCGGTTGCGGCTGTGGGCAGTAGTGCTGCGAGGAAAGGAGTGGTAAATAGAAATGAACGCCCCCGTGTAAGGGAGGTCACTGCACTGCTCAGGATGAGGTTTGTACAGTGTTTATCGGGCTCTGTGGGAGGCTCTGAGGAGGGCTCAGAAAGTCCCTGCCTTCAGCCCCATAGCCCAGGTGGGTCCCTCTTGCCGCCTCTCTGAAGTCGTATATTGAAAGCCATATTGAAATGAAGCTGTGACTCTCCTGAGAGTGGGTGTTAGTTAGTGTCATTATGTGCCCAAAACCACACAAAATACAAGCAAAAGTCTAATGTGTAGTCTCTCTTAGGAACTCTGGGTGTGTTGTGTATTTGGCCTTCAGACTGAAAATTGTTCCATGTTTTCTGTCTTCTCAGCCTTTGATTTCATGAACAACTTCCCTGCCTAACCACTGCTGCAGTTGCTAAGGTTACTGAGTAAAAACTTAGATGCATAACAGTGTGTCCTGTATGTGTGTCTAAAGAAACAGTGTTTTTAGCTGAAAAATCCTTCCAAACCTGCTGATTTCCACGTGTTTTTCTCCAGGCAAGAATCCACACCAGCCCTGAGCAGAGCCTGCAGTATGGGTGGCTGGCCTATATGTTGGGAGAAAGGACCACCAAGAAGTTCACAGAGCACAGCAAAGTCTTTACAGTAGAGGGGAATCTGTCTTCTGGGAAGGGCAAGCTGGCCCAGCAAATAGCAGACAAACTGGGTATGTCTCACTCTGTCCATTTCCCTGAGAGCTGACAGTGTTTAATCGTGGTTTTTGTGCAGAGGAAGTTCACCAGAGCAGCAGGTCCTGACTGGGAAATGCTGGAGGGAGTGGAGAGGGTCTGTGGATGATGTTGGTGAGGTTTGGGACAAGGATTTGTTGTGAGTGAGGCTTCATTTCTAATGGAGTCTGTGTGCTCACCGTGCTCCCAGAGAGTTTGGGTTTTCCACATGGATGTGCCTGGAAGAGCTCAGCTCTCCCTGGGCTGTGGCAGAGCTCGCAGTTGGGTTCGTTGCCCTCTGCTGGGATAGACAGGGGAGCTGGGGGTGTCTGGGAGCTGTTCAAGGAACAGCTGTGCGTTCGGTAGCTGAGGAGGTGTGTGCTGCAAATGAACACAGCTTATTTCTACAGGTTTCTTCTCTGTTTCAGGAATGAAGTACTTCCCTGAGGCAGACATCCACTACCACGACAAGCTCTCAGGGGATGGCAAGCTGCTGCCTGAGAAGTTTAGTGGTTTCTGTAACCTGGAGAAGTTCTACACAGAGCCCAAGTCTCCTGACGGGCACTCGTACCGCCTGCAGTCCTGGATCTTTGGGAACCGTATCCTGCAGTATGCTGACGCCTTGGAGCACCTGCTCAGCACAGGTTGGGGAATCATGGAGTGGTCTGGGCTGGAAGGGACCTCACAGCTCCTTTTGTTCCAACCTGGAGCCTGTTCTCCCTTGCAGGTCAAGGCGTGGTGCTGGAGCGCTCTCCCTACAGTGACTTCGTGTTCCTGGATGCCATGTTAAAGCAGGGATATGTCCACAAGAGATGTGAGTTCCTGCTAGCAAAAGGAGGCTGTTTGGCCATAATCTCTCAGGAGTCTGGCAGTTAGATTTAAAAAAGAAGCAAAGCATTCCTGCTTGGAAGGAGGAAATCCTTTAAATGTTCGGTGTTCATGTGTTGTATGTTGCTGAGTGGAGCTAGTCTGGTTTCAGTGGCAGTGAGAGGACAAAAGATAAAGGGCATGAACTGAAATGCAAAACGTTTCGTTTGTAAGGAGAAACCCTTTTTCCACTGTGAAGAGTCAAACCCTGGTGCAAATCACCTGGGATCTCTCCCCTGGGGATATTTAGAATGCTGTGAGTAGAGTTCTCAGCAGAGTGGTTGAACCTGTGATTTGGGGATATTCCTCCCAACCTGAGTGATTTGGTTTGGGGTTATGGGCACTGAGCTCCTGAGCTGTTGCTGCATGTTCTTAGCAAATCTGTTCTTTTGGCTGCTCCTGAGGTGGACATAACTGTTTTCTTGACTGCCTCCTGTTTTTGCTGTTGGATTTAAGAGGTTTGTTTCTTGCCACCTGCTGTAAGTTACTGGATGGCTTTGAGAGCTGATTATAATGACCTGTGCCTACATTGCTGAGGCAGCAAAGCCCAGCAATCCACAATTTAATACAGAATCACAGTTTGGATTGTACTGGAATCCTTAGGGAACAGACATCTTGATTAGAGCTATTGCTGCTTATTGTCTCTAAATAGTGGAGGAAAAGCTGAGATTCCTGTAAACCTGAGTCAGGAATAAAGTCCTTTGATACAACTGGGTTTAGATTCTTAGATCTCAGTGCATAGAATTTTTCTGGAGATAGTTGTTCTGTAAACTTCCTGAATTCTGTTTGAGGAAAAGCATACCCTAAACTTACTCTGTGAGCCCAGAAGAAGAGACTGCAAATACAGAGGTGGGGAATGTGAATCTTTTGTGTTTTACACAGGCCTTGATCACTACAAAGAGGTCAAGGAGATCAGCATTTCTGAGTTGCTGCCACCTCACTTGGTCATTTATGTTGATGTGCCTGTCCCAGAAGTGCAGAAGAGGATTCAAGAGAAAGGCAAGGTAATTTGATCTATAATTATTGCCCATTTATCTTTTATCTTTATTATTACTTGTCTCTCACAATTGCTGCCTGCTAATGTCTGTTGTAATCACTCCTTATGTGGAGTCCTGTGGGGTTTGCTGCTGAATGCTGCTTCTGGGGAGCTGCTTGTCCTCTGAGGTGTGAGATCTGTGTGGTGGTGGTGACTCTGTGGGTATACTTGTATGCTTGCTTTAAAAAGGCAAAAAAAAGGCAAAAATTAACTTTTTGTGTGACTGCATTGATATGTTGTCATTTGTGGAATGAGAAATTGTTTTATGAGCAGGTGAATTTTTATACCTGGCTGTGTAGGTGCCACTTCAGGAGCTGTGGGCAGGTGATGTGCTGATTGCAGTGCACTTAGAGATGATATATTTATTATTCCTGAGTGCCAGGAGCCCAGCTGGAGTCCCTGGCTCCTGCTTCCCAGTTGACTGGTTCCTCACCCCTGTGCTGGGGTTCATGTGTAAGTCACCTGGGATCAGAAAGTTCACTTAACTCCCTGAAATCCAGCAAATCACTGCTGGGTGACTGCGTTATTGAGCTAGTCTTGGCTCAGGAAAGCTGTAGGGTGCTTTTGGGGAATAACTAATCTAAGTAAGGTTTGTAATTTGGACTTTTTTCCCCATCTTTCTTTGATACTTAGATGTGTACTTGTAGCTGTTTGCAGATGTGTTATGAGGATTCAAAGATGTTTGTCTTGCCTTGTTGAAAAGCTATGGGAAATGCAGTGTAACTCTGGAAGACCGGATAGATTAAAAGAAGGCTTTGATTTATTAGAAAAAAGTTCTCAGTTAAGTTCTTCATGTATTGGGGAACCTGTGAGTTCTTAGCCCTTCTGAGTATGAAAATCAGTGGCATTTTTAAAACCTTTGGACAGAAATTGCTGATGTAGCTTGTGATTTTTTGGGTCAGTGGCAGTGCTGAGCTCTGTAGGATTTTTTTGGGGAGCACACGGTAGATTAGAGAAATTCCTGGTGTTTTGCTACGCTCCTGGCACTCACAGTAGGTTAGAGAAATTCCTGGTGTTTTGCTACGCTCCTGGCACTCACAGTAGGTTAGAGAAATTCCTGGTGTTTTGCTACGCTCCTGGCACTCACAGTAGGTTAGAGAAATTCCTGGTGTTTTGCAAATGTGGCATTGAAAGTACACTGTGTGGAAAGCAAACTGGTTAACAATAGGGATGATATCCATGAAATTTCTCTGGAGTTTGGAGTGGGTGTTTGCCCGTGCACTTGTCTGAAACTCTGGAAATAGGTGCAAATTTGGCCTCCTTATGGAAAAAGTGGACGCAGTCTTCTCCTGTTTTCTGGGTGGCTATTATTGCTTGCTGGAATGTGTAGTTAGCAAGGATCAATCAGCCCTTGGATAGCTGCGGGCTGCTCTAGGTATTATATGGCATGTAAGGAATTCCAAACACTCCTAATAAAACTCTTTAATTCTTTGAAACTTTCACTGATGTGCATGTGGTTTACTTGGATGTTTGACTGTTTATCCCAGAGTGAGCCCTTGGCAGGTGGTGGAGCAGACCTTGGAGTCTGTGCTGGTGTGAAAAGAAAGTTAATTCCACAGCTTTTTCTGTTTATTTGTTTGTAGCCATATGAGAAGAAGGTGTCTCCTTCCTATCTCCAGAGCATTGAGGATGCTTACAAGAAGACCTTCCTACCAGAAATCAGGTTAGCAAAGCAAAATATTTTGCCTCTTAGGTCTTTGAGCAAAAATGTGTGCAAACCTTAAAATCTCTGCCAATATGAACAAATCATGTGAAAAAATCCTATTTGTGCTGCAGGGTACAGAATTGTGCCCTCATGAAGTGGTGCTGCACTCACAGTATAGGAGCTGTGTGAGTGTAGTTACTTCTGCCATCCCAGAAGCCTGATGCCAGTGTTGGAAGATGAAAATGAGTTCAGGAGTGGTGTGCAGAATGCCACAGCTGTGGCTGTGTGTGTTTGCACGACCTGAAGAGAGAGTGATGCAATACAAGCTTTTCTCAGGCCTTTTTGGAAGGCTTTAGGGCTTTTCTCTCCTCAAAAAGTCCTTTGGCTGTCACAGAATCCTAGAATGGTTTGGGTTGGAGGGACCTTAAAGCTCATCC